TTGCTTCCCCAATGATGAAGAATAACACCAAAGAAGCAGGCGAGGCCAGGTCAGAGTAGAAATTAGAAGTTTCTTAAAGGACAGCAGAGAAGACTTCTCCCGGAGGAAGAAGGGGACCCAAGAGGTGGGATCCGTGGAAGTGCAGTTGTTTCCCCTTTTTATGGTTTTGGTGATGGAATGTAGGTTGGAAGGCCCAGGGGTGGGACACAGGTGAGCCAAAGAAGTAATCTGGGCAGGAAGGACTTCTGAGTCAGCACCTTCAAGTTTGCTGGGGGCTGTTCATTAACACTTCTTTGGGATGGGCTCTGGCCTTGGGCTTTTTCCTGGACTTCATTAACATTCCATGAGTTGTCCTGCTTTTCCCGGAATCATTCTCAGCATGGCCTCCATTTTAGATTTCACTCGGTATTAGACCCGATTTATCTAACTACACTGACTACCTAACTTTAAATCTGGCTTCAACCTTCCCATCCCCATGGCCCCCCAAATTATGATATTATAATGAAGTAAATTTCAACAGCATTTGCTGGTGAAAGTTAGCTTTTGGAACATATTTCTGAAAATTAATTTTATTTTAGGGCTCAGGGTACAGAATGGGGAGACAGTCTGCCTCCTGCCTTCCCCTGGCTGCTGGAGGCGAGAAGCCTGCACCCTGCCTTCTCAATCTGACCCTCTGCTAACAAATTCACCATTACTTTTAACCCTCCCCAGGTGTGAGGGGGAGGCGCACTGTCAGGTATCTTCTTTGGGATAAGGAGTCTTTTCCTGTGATTCTGAGGTGACCCACTCCCCTTCCCCTTCCCCTGGGCTTGGTGGGGTTTCTCTCCTCTAGAGTTTGGACTTCTTAACTGTAAAGGTAAAATTTCTAAGCTGATTCTAAGCTGCAAAGCCTGAGTTAAAGTGTAAAAGACCGGGCATTGTAAAGTTTCCAAGCTGCAGGGCCTGAGTTAAAAAGTGAAAGACTAGGTATTGTTAAAATTCCTCTGCTACCCCCAGAACCTGTAATCCCTGTAGCTGTTAGGACAATACTGGAACTGCCCAGTAAATATCCCCACTGTTTCCACTGGTTGTCTAATAACCTGGGACTCTGTGTAGAATGTCACCTAGTCCTTGAGGCCCTAAAACCAATCAGTTTGAATGTGTACCTCACTTAGAAGTGACCAATCACCCCCATCCAGCCTGTTCCCGCCAATGAATGTACTAATCGTGTCTTGGAGTTGTTGTTCAATTTTCCCGTGCCTCATGATGATTTGTTTTGATGTATGCAAAGCCCCCCACCCTCTCCAAAAAGTGTACTTAAGCTCTGCTTGACCTCTGCTCTGGGCTCTGGGCCGCTCTCCCTTCCTGAGTGAGCCTTGAGCCTCAGTGCGATGAATCAATAAATCCCTTTCTGCCAATTGCATGAAGCAGTCTCTTGTGGTCTCTTCCTCCGACACTTCGCTGGACCCTTACATAACCATCTCTTTATTTTCCTTTTTGGAACTGCCACAGTTGCTTTCCTTGATGTCTCCCATTGGGAAGTGCTTTCCTGGTGGGTGCCACCCTCCTGTTCTGCCTCACTGACCACTTGGTCCCTGAGCATCTGTTAGAAGCTGCCTGCCCTTGCTTTTGCATATTTTTCTTTTTTTTTTTACATTTTTTTATTAAAGTTATTTTTTTAAGAGAGAGTGAGAGAGGAGAGAGAGAGAGAGAGAATTTTTAATATTTATTTTTTAGTTCTCGATGGACACAACATCTTTGTTGGTATGTGGTGCTGAGGACCGAACCCGGGCCGCACGCATGCCAGGCGAGCGCGCTACCGCTTGAGCCACATCCCCAGCCCTTTTGCATATTTTTCTCATCTTCTTTACATCTTCACTGCCCTCGGAATTGCCCTTCTTGGACTTAACATCTTTTTTTTCTGAATCCTATCTTCCTGGGAATACCTTCCAGATCACCTCTATCTTTTAACCACTGAGGAAAGGATCCAATTTTCTTAGGAGGGCTGGGGATGTGGCTCAATGCCTTTGCTTAAGGAGGAGGGTCAGGGTTCCCTCCCCAGCACAGAAAATAAATAAATAAATAAATAAATGCGACGAAATTCTTAGCAAGAGGCCCCAATCTCTTGCACATCTTCATCTGCATGGTCAGATTCCTGATGCTGCATTATCAGCAACCTTGCCACGTTTCCTGTTGAAACAGGACCCCCCACCCGCCCCAGCGAGCCTGAGCTGCTGGCTTCTTTATGCCCCCTCCTCGGTTGAGGGCCTGGGGATCAGGTGAGCCCCACCCCACTCTCTTCAAAAGGGAGCTCCGTTTCACTTTCAAGTGGGCGGGTGCCAACCCGGAGCCGAGGTGCACACCTGTAACCCCAGAAGCTCTGGAGGCTGAGGCAAGAGGATCACAAGGTGGCACCTTAGGGAGGCCCTGCCTCAAAATAAAAAATAAAAAGGACTGGGGCTGTGGGTCAGCGACCCTGCGTTCAATCCTCAGAACAACGATACTAACAATTAATAGCAGAGTTGAGGCGTCCAGCTACCACCGGGGTGCACGGGGCGTTTCCACCTCCTCCAAGGACCCCGACACACGGCAGCAGCCCCCTCTCGTGTCATTTCGTGGCCCTGTCAGCCTTCACAGCGGCTCCGACCAAAGCCGACGCTCCCTGACACCTGTGATTCTGGGGTGACCCACTGTGTTCTTTGGCACAGTTTCTAAGACACCAACGCCACGGCGGGCGCGCGCGGGCCTCTCCGTCACCTAGCAACCGGCGGCGTCCTCCCAGCAGGCCCTGCGCCCGGCG